TATACAGAATTTTACTGTTGTTAACAACCATATAATCAATAAATATGAGAGATGCCCTCTCAAAAAAAAAAAAAACCTTCATTAATTTTATAGGTCCAAAATGGAAATACTTGTTTTAATCTGCACTTCACTGATTGTATGTGGGATGGGACCTTTCGTTCGTATTTATTGCCTTTGTGTTTCAAATGACCTGTTCATAGCCTTTGATCAATTTTATATTGGCCTTTTATTCTTTTTTATTATAAGAATATATTTATATATTCAAGTCACTGATGCCTCTTTTCTTGTCATGTAGTGCTTTCCCCTTGACCCATTTTAGTCATACAATATATTGAAATTTGGGTGTGGGTTTTTTTGTCAATTTATTTCTGCCTATCACAAAATAGTAGTACTTGGATCAGTATGATATATGATCACAACAACTATCAGGCTTAACAGCAATAACAACAACAATAATATATTCTGAGAACGATTTAAACTGTGGGAAAAAATATTTAATATTTAATAGTCCCATCAGTGTCTTCAGACTGTAACTAAGATCAACAACTACCTACTGAGTGCCTACAATTCAATAAACATTAATTGGACACCTGTATTCAACACTGTGGGGGCACTTTCAGGAATACCAAAGAATTTTAAGATAAAGAACTTCTCTAAGGAACTTGTCATCTATCCTGGGGCTCATAATACCAGAAGAAACCTTAGAGCAGGAGGTATGTTCTACATTGTATTTAGGATGTGAGAGCCCAAAACCAAGAATGCTCTCTCAGTCTCCATACATTTTTTTCAGGTAAGGCTGGATGGGTACCAATAAAAGCAAGTCATTCCTGAATCCCAGCTAACTCGGTAACTCTTCCTCTCCTAAGGTTTCTCCTCAGGTGGAACGCAGGTGTGTCCCCAAATACAGCAACATCATCTAGTTAGCAGCACTCTTGCTGCCCTTCTGTGACAACCGTTCTGTCCCCGTCAGTCACTGGTGCTTAGATCATTTCACTTAATGTTTACAGATTAATCTTACCAGATCACTCATGAGTATGCAAGAGACTATGAAAGCTTCTGGTGAGAGTATTGCCTCTCAGTAAAGTGAACATTCAGAATCTTCTTTGTCTTTTTCTTTTAGAACCTCGATCCATGGCAGAGCCAGGTAAAGATCATGTTAACTTACATGTTAGTATGTGATCAGTGAT